GTGTGTGGTGATGGAACTCAGGGTGTGTAGGTGTGTGGTGGTTGAACTCAGGGTGTGTAGGTGTGTGGTGGTTGAACTCAGGGTGCGTAGGTGTGTGGTGGTTGAACTCAGGGTGTGTAGGTGTGTGGTGGTTGAACTCTGGGTGTGTAGGTGTGTGGTGGTTGAACTCAGGGTGTGTAGGTGTGTAGTGGTTGAACGCAGTGTGCTGGTGGTAGTGGTAGTGGTGGTGCTTGAACGCAGTGTGGTGGTGGTTGAACGCTGTGTGGTGGTGGTGATAGTGGTGGTGGTTGAACGCAATGTGGTGATAGTGGTGATGGTTGAACGCTGTGTGGTGGTGGTGGTGGTGATATTGGTGGTGGTTGAACGCAGTGTGGTGATAGTGGTGGTGGTGGTTGAACGCTGTGTGGTGGTGGTGGTAGTGGTGGTGGTGGTTGAACGCAGTGTGGTGGTGGTTGAACGCTGTGTGGTGGTGGTTGAACGCTGTGTGGTGGTGGTAGTGGTGGTGGTTGAACGCAGTGTGGTGGTGGTTGAACGCTGTGTGGTGGTGGTAGTGGTGGTGGTTGAACGCAGTGTGGTGGTGGTTGAACGCTGTGTGGTGGTGGTAGTGGTAGTGGTGGTGGTTGAACGCTGTGTGGTGGTGGTAGTGGTGGTGGTTGAACGCAGTGTGGTGTGGTAGTGGTTGAACGCTATGTGGTGATAGTGGTGGTGGTTGAACGCAGTGTGGTGGTGGTGGTGGTGGTTAAACACAGTGTGGTGGTGGTGGTTGAACGCAGTGTGGTGGTGGTGGTTGAAGGCAGTGTGGTGGTGGTGGTGGTGGTGGTGGTTGAACGCTGTGCGGTGGTGGTGGTGGTTGAACAGTGTGTTGGTGGTGGTGGTTGAACACAGTGTGGTGGTGGTGGTAGTGGTGGTGGTTGAACACAGTGTGGTGGTGGTTGAACGCAGTGTGGAAGTGATGGTAGTGGTGGTGGTTGAACGCTGTGTGGTGGTGGTGGTTGAACGCAGTGTGGTGGTGGTGGTGGTGGTAGTGGTGGTGGTGGTAGTGGTGGTGGTGGTTGAACGCAGTGTGGAGGTGGTAGTGGTGGTGGTGGTGGTTGAACGCAGTGTGGTGGTGGTAGTGGTGGTGGTGGTTGAACGCAGTGTGGTGGTGGTGGTGGTGGTTGAACGCTGTGTGGTGGTAATGGTGGTGGTTGAACGCAGTGTGGTGGCTGGCCCAGTTCCCTCACAATAGGGGTGCAGGAATTTGTGAGTGAAGTTAACGGAACGGCGATCGCTATGCTCGTAGCAGTCGTGGTAGCGATACAAGAGTGACAAGGAGGCGACTTTAGCACAGAAAATAAAATATACCGACGGTGTGGATTTCACACCCCTCCCCTCCATATATATTAGCCCCCCTCGAATCACAAGTTCAATGTAATTGTGTCCCAATTCCAACACTTATCACTCGCCTAATAGTCAATATCACAACGCAGATTGTTGTATCGTGAATGAGTGTCAGCCCGGGGATGCAACGCGTCCGAGGGGCATCCACAGAGGAGATGGAGCGATGGAATCAGCTCCTGTGGGGACAGATGGTCATGGTCTTGAAGGGAGGAGAGGCTTTCATCCAGCAGTAGATTGAGGACAGCTGATGATGAGGCATGTTCTCGCTTTCAGCAGCACAAGAAGGTTAAGTTCTTAGAGTATATTTCGTTTTCAAAGTACGTTGTACTTAATCTGATTACAGTCTGGATTATTTTAAAAGTAGCGTGTATAGTGGGCGAGAAGTCTCTATACCCCTTTTATTCTGCGAGTCAATTGCAGCCGTGAAGACAAGGGGTATAGGGACTTCTCGTCCACCGTGGTGCCTGCTGATGTCTTTGCCTTATAACTGAAGCTGCTGCTGCTGACTGGGATATTTCCCGCCCTCTTTTTATTGAAGGTAGTGTATGTGGGTGGGGGGGTAATCATGAAGGTAATCACGCGGTAAGTGTGCTAAGTAATTAGCTGATGATGTCGAAATAAAAAAAACTGGTAACGCTGTGGTAATCCGATAGCAGCAGCAACGCTTTGCGTGCAGTGTAACGAGCGCCTTTTATCTTTGTAACGCGTTACAACATCAGAGCTGTTTCTGGGAGTTTTCGAGGCAGAGAGACAAAGACGGAGGGGGGGGGGGCGACAATTCGCCATCCCTGCGCGACGCTTTGTAATCCGGTATTGATTTTCTCAGCGGAGAGGGTCTGCGGTTTTGCCTGTGATTGAAGCAAACTGACTATGTATTTTATTAATGTATGAGGCAATTCATCGTTGAGTAAAGCATCCCCCCCCCCCGTCTATACATCATCATAGTCGTGATGAATATCACCGCCTTCATCACTACTATCCTACACACCATGACCCTAGTCAGCACCACTCTATAACTATCGCTCATGATGATGATTGTGACTGTCACCATGACCATATCAGCATCCTTACTATGATGATGATCACCACGAACCTTTTCACCCTCATCATCAGTGTAATAGTCATCATCAACTTCAAGATCAGCCCCAATGTTCATGACCATAAATAAGAAAGATCACCATCACTACCTTCACCACCATGATATTCATCATCACCATCACTTTCACCTCGGTGAATATTATATTTACCATCACTAAAGCGCCATTACCACGACCAACGCCTTCATCTTTAGCTTTTTCATCAACGCCGCTACCTTCAATCGCCATTCATGGCCAATCACCTTCTTCACGATGATGATGAGGAAGGCAGTGATCACCACCACCGTCACCACCACCATCATCATCATTCCACCACAACCTTCATCACAACTACCAAAACCACTCTCTCCAACATCATCACCGCCACCATCAGATCCAACACCACCTTCATCACCCTTATCACCACCACCTTCACTATCACCACCATCTTAATTTGTACCACCACAATCATCACCACCACGACGACCTTCATCGCCACAATCCGTATCACCATCTTCACCAGCGTAATCAAAACAACCACCAGAACCACCACCTTCATCACCAGCATCCCCACCACCTCATACTCGCCGCCACCCACCACCACCATAATCATCCCCGCCATCAATACCATCACCGATACCACCATCCCCACGACTACCACCACTATTGAGACCAACACCAGAATCACCACCAGCATTCCTCATCACTATGGACATCAGTCCTACCATCACCTTCACCGTCAAATATTCCCCGTGTAGCTTTAACAGACGTGTAGGGGCAAGTGTTGTGAGCGAGTAGTAAGCACCTATGAGGGCCGGCACGGCACACGAGGGGGTGGGTGGCCAGCACCCACGCCCGGCCGCCTTTGTCTCCCCATGTGGCGATGCTTAACACATCGCACCAGGCACTCATTTAAGACTGAGTCGACTTAGGGGAGGCCCAGGACCGGTTGAGATAATCGTCACCGATGTTGGCCGTGAGCGGGAATCGAATGCGGGTCGCCGGGTTCATAGCGCAGCGTAGCGCTAACCACTGCGCCACCGCTCCCCCCACCACACACCTTCACAACCTTCACCATCACAACCATCACCACCACGCCCGTCTCACGCCACCACTCAGCTCCTCAGCCTTAAACAGCAGCAACGAGAGCGACGGGACATGGCGTAGAGCCCCGTTTGCTGACTCGACGAGAAACCCGTTCTACGAAGCGCTGCCATCAACTCCCATCCGCATATTCCTCGCTCCCTCTCCACTTCCTTCCCCTTTAATAGGAAGGGAGAGAGAAAAAAAAACCCCTCCACTATACCCTCCAAAAGAAGGCGGAGTGTGGGAGAAGGTAGTGGAGCTGCGGCAACCAATGGAGCGTCCAGAACCCCGATGAATAATAGATTACAGTCCGCGCTCGTCACTACCCGACACAGTATTGGTGTAAAAAGACGCATGGACAGAGAAGCAGTTGTAAGCGGGCCGCCGCTACTGCATTGCGAGTTCACACACACACAGAGATCTCCCTCGCCACGGACTCATCATATTACCATTGCCCTGCCAGCAGCATTCATCGTGAGCAAGCAACCATTACGTCGAGAGATAACCCAAAAAATTGCATTGTCATCAGCAGCAGCAGCAGAATTAGAATCGTGATGACGAGAAGCGGTGTGAGCGGGATTAGCTATCCCATTCTCCGGTTCGTATTTTTCTGTGCCCCACCCCCAGCAAAAAAAAATTGTTCTAATCTTTCTATCATCAGCAGCATGATGATCATCGTCAGCTTCATCGTATGCAGGAGCATCATCATCAGGAGTATCCCTTTTCTCAGATTCATAATTGCATTTCCCGAGGAATAATTACATCAGATATCATCAGCAGCATCATCAGTAGCATCATCATCATCAGCAGCAGCAGTATTGTAATCAGCATCATCAGCAGCAGCAGTATTGTAATAATCAGCAGCAGTATTCATTATAATCAGCACGCGATGGAAAAATCCTGGAGCAGGCCGGTACGGTCGTACCAAACCGGTGCGGGATACGAATGAGAAAATAATGCATTGCATCATTCGTGTATTGAACATCACGTACACACGTACACGTGTGTGTGTGTGTGTACAGACACGTACACACACACACACACGTACATGTACTGTTGTGTACACACGTTCATGTACGTGTGTACAGAACATGTGTGTGTACATGTCTGTACATACACATGTACATGTGTGTACAGACACGTACACACATACACGTGTGTTTGTGCATGTCTGTACATGTGTGTGTACACACACACACACGTACTAATACAAGATTCCTCCCTTACCCACACATACGTGTACGCATACGTGTACGCAAACATGTACACAGATGTGCACACACGTGCACCGTACTGGCCTTGATAGGTACTCGCTAACAGAACGTATGCATATACACACGTACATACACACACGTGTACAGACACACACCTACATGTACACACACGTACATGTACACACACGTACATATACACATGTACACGTACATACACACGTGCGCACGGACCGTAAACGCTTACCGGTATTTGCGTGACACAGCGCGAAGGGCAGCAGTGCTGATGATGATGGCTTTAGCGTAAAAAAAAAACCACACCCTTACAAAAAACCTTCCTAAGAATGCTGCTCCTGTGCAAAAATAACCCTCTCTTATATACCTGTATAGTGCAGCGTTACTCACAACAATACCACTACGACTGCTGCTATCCCATATATTGTAATCCTATGCAGAAGGGGGGTGGGTGGGTTATGGAAACCTCACTCACTGCGTGATTGTTCGTGGACTGCCGCTTCCAGCAGCCAACCCCAGGCTTTGCTGTGAATACAAACGGAGCTCCCCGCTCGCCCGCACGCTCCAGCCAGCCAAGCTTGGAGGTGCTTCTTGGGTTGATCTGCTTGCTGCTGCTGGTGGGTGGCTGGTGGGTGGGTGGTGCAGGGTAGTGGCTGGATGCTCATTTGCAGGGAGACGACAGCGCCCTCGCCGCACGTGTCTCTCCGTTGGTGTTCGCTCCAAACCAATAGAGCCGCTCCATTGGCTTAGAATGCGGCAGGCGGTGCGGACTGGGGTTGGGGGAGTGGGGAGATGGGTGGGGGCGAGCCGCTGATGTCGGCGGAGGAGGCGTGTTGTGTTGCCTAGAGTCTAGTGGAGGAGGTGTGTGTGTGTTGCCTAGAGTCTGGTGGAGGAGGTGTGTGTGTGTGTGTTGCCTAGAGTCTGGTGGAGGAGGAGGTGTGTGTGTGTTGCCTAGAGTCTGGTGCAGGAGGAGGGGTGTGTGTGTTGCCTAGAGTCTGGTGGAGGAGGTGTGTGTGTGTTGCCTCGAGTCTGGTGGAGGAGGTGTGTGTGTGTTGCCTAGAGTCTGGTGGAGGAGGAGGGGTGTGTGTGTGTTGCCTAGAGTCTGGTGGAGGAGGTGTGTGTGTGTTGCCTCGAGTCTGGTGGAGGAGGAGGTGTGTGTGTTGCCTAGAGTCTGGTGGAGGAGGAGGTGTGTGTGTTGGGTAGTGTCTGGTGGAGGAGGAGGTGTGTGTGTGTGTGTTGGGTAGTGTGGTGGAGGAGGGGTGTGTGTGTTGGGTAGTGTCTGGTGGAGGAGGGGTGTGTGTGTTGGGTAGTGTGGTGGAGGAGGAGGGGTGTGTGTGTGTTGGGTAGTGTCTGGTGGAGGAGGGGTGTGTGTATTGGGTAGTGTCTGGTGGAGGAGGAGGGGTGTGTGTGTGTTGGGTAGTGTCTGGTGGAGGAGGTGTGTGTGTGTTGGGTAGTGTCTGGTGGAGGAGGGGTGTGTGTGTTGGGTAGTGTCTGGTGGAGGAGGAGGGGTGTGTGTGTGTGTTGGGTAGTGTCTGGTGGAGGAGGGGTGTGTGTGTGTTGGGTAGTGTGGTGGAGGAGGAGGGGTGTGTGTGTGTGTTGGGTAGTGTCTGCTTTGGGTACGCGGTCCAGACCTCCCCAGAGACCCTGGCTGACAGAGGAGGTGTTCAGGATGGTTGAGAAAAAGCGACAGGCCCACTGTCATCGGCTACAGAATCCCACGTCAGAGAATGAGGAGGCTTACCGCAGCCTTCGCTCGGAGGTTCGGAGAGCCGTGGGGCGCTGCGAGGATGGGTGGTGATCGCGGGTTGCTGAGGAGATGGAGTCTGCCTCAGTGGCCCGTGATCACAAATCTCTATTTAACTCCATCAAAAAAGTAATCTGCAGCGGCATACCTATTACCATCATTAGGGGGAAAAAAGGGTGACCCAATCTCCGACCCCCAGGAACAGGTTTGCAGATTTGCTGAGCATTTCTGTGAGGTCCTGGGGGAGGGAAAATCCCTCAGCCAGAAAAACATCGTGGCACAAAGTGAGGATAACCCTGCTGAGGCTGCGGTGCCTCAAATATTGGAAGAAGTCACCCCATGTGAGTGGCTGGCTGAGGTGCCATCTGTTGAGGAAGTACTGAAGGCGATGCGGAGTCTGAGACCAGGAAAGGCAGCGGGCAGAGATGATCTCCCAAGCGAAATGCTGAGGGAGGGCGGCGTTTGTGCACAGACTGCCTTATATGACATCATAACAACAGTCTGGACCACTGGACGGGTTCCGCAGGATTGGAAGGATGCCCTGGTGGTCCCCCTTTTTAAGAAGGGGGACCGCACAGACTGTAACAACTACAGGGGCATCTCACTCCTCAGTGTGCCGGGAAAGGTCCTGGCAAAAATTATTCAACATCGCCTTGCCAGGCACGCTGAGGAGAGGCTTGCGGAGCCCCAATGCGGTTTCAGGAAAGGGCGGTCCTGCACAGATGCCATAATTTCTGTCCGTCTGCTACAGCAGAGGTGTAGGGAATTCCAACAAGACCTACATCTCTGCTTTATTGACCTGGTCAAGGCCTATGATACGATCAGTAGGCCTGGGCTCTGGGTTGTTCTTCGTGCTTTTGGAGTACCTGACCCTCTGCTCACGATCATTAAGAACCTTCATGATGGTGAGCGGGCCCGGGTAAAACTACGTGGCCGGGAGTCAGAGCCATTCCCTGTACACCTTGGGGTGCGACAGGGATGTCCTCTGGCTCTCACATTATTTAACATCTATTTTAACCACGTAGTTCGTGAAGCCTTCAATAGCTGTACCGGGGGAATCTCCATATGGTACAGATATAATGGGAGGCTGATCGATTCCCGGGTGCGGTCAAGGGATGGCTCCCTATTGCTCAACCACGTTATGTATGCTGATGATTTGGCAATAGCTGTTCATTCAGAGGAGGAGTTGGAGACGCTGCTGCTGAGACTGGAGCGTGCCACTAAGAGGTGGGGCCTTACCATCAGCCCCACCAAAACTAAGCACCTACCTGGGTATTTTGTACCATCGGACACTCCACCCCCACAACTCCCAATCGGTGATGGGGCAGTTGTAGAGAGAGTGGAGAGTTTCCCATACCTGGGCAGTGTGCTTATGACTGGCTCCAGTTTAACAGCAGAGGTCTCACTCCGAATCAGTCGAGCGGCAATATATTTTCATCGGTTGCGTAACGCTGTGTGGAAGCTACCTGGTCTGTCGCTCCGCACTAAGCTTCAGGTCTTCTCGGCCACGGTCATTCCCTCCCTTCTCTACGCTTGCAAAACGTGGACCCCCCCTAATGGAACATCTTCACCGGTTGGAAACATTTAGGCTGGCCTGACTACGATCCATCCTGGGTTTAACCAGACTAGATTGTGTGTGGAGCTCACAAATCCTTGAAAGATCTGGGCAGGGTCCCATCGGTGAGCTCCTCTGGCGGGGAAGGCTGCGACGGCTGGGTCATGTAGCCCGCATGCCCAGCCACCGCATGCCGAAACAGCTTTTGTTTGGCCGGATTGAGGGGGCTAAGCGGGCGCGGCACGGGCTAGAGAAGAGATGGAGTGATGTGGTACAGGAGGACGTGGAGCTGAGTGGACTTGCCGATGACTGGTACCAGCGGTGTCAAGATCGGCCTCTGTGGAGGAGGCTCGTAAAGGACGCTACTGGGCAGTTGGAGGCAGTCGCCCTCCAACAACAACGTAGGACGGAGGAGCGACGCTCACAACAACGAGCGGAGCGCCGGGTGGCTAAAGCACAGCAGGTTGCCACAGTAGGGGGCACAGGTGGTGCATCAGCCAGTCATCTCAGTCAGTCGACCCGTGGCACCTGGGTCTGCCCCGTGACCTCCTGCCAGCGGGCGTTCGACACTTCACGTGGCCTCAAGGTGCACATAGCCTGGCACAAGCGTCGTGGTGACGTCACTGCCACTTAGTGGCGAATGGCGGTTGTTGTTGTTGGGTAGTGTCTGGTGGAGGAGGAGGGGTGTGTGTGTGTGTTGGGTAGTGTCTGGTGGAGGAGGAGGGGTGTGTGTGTGTGTGTTGGGTAGTGTCTGGTGGAGGAGGAGGGGGGTGCCTCGGTAGTGTCTAAGGTAGCACAGGAATCACTACACCCTGAGGTGGCACAGCAATCACTAACCACCCAACTCTACATCAGTACCCATCAGTTTATACGGCTCATACGAGTGAATTTCTAGATAACCCCACTCATTTCAAATGCTCAGCAACATCATCCACTTTTATTTGCCACGTAGAGAAGTGCGCGGTTCAAGCTGTGCCACCTCGGGGTGGTTACAGCAATTACCCCGGTTTACGTCGGGGATGCGTTCCTGAAAGGCGCGACAACGAAGATGGAAACGACGCAACTCATAGCCACGTGCAGGGTCGTAGTGGGTGGGTGAAGGCGAAGGCTGAGAGGTGACGGATAACGAGAAAGAACGGACGATGCTGTCAGCGACGTAAGTGTGGGTTGAGGCGACGTCAATCAGGTAGCGGTGTTAATACAGTGACGACGTATTTGTGAAGCGACGTGAAATGGGGAGACGTGAATCAGGGTCTGACTGTCTATGCCTGTGTAGTGGGTTCACGGGACACGGAGACGGTGGAGTAGAGGCAGCACTGTTTATTCAAGCTTGGCAAGGGTTACACTGAGAAGGGGTAACGGCCCCTCCACCCGTATACACACTGGGACACCCCCTAGGCTATCTAGCCTAACCACTGTGCTCCCAGTTCCTCCGCTACAGGCGCTAGGGGAGGCTATCTGACCTGGCCCTGGTCATGGCACAGACCACGGCACCCCACCAACCAGACCGATCCTTAAAAGGGCTCCGGCTCTGAGGCCCTGGGGCCACACCACTGGCTTACCCTGCCGGTCCTCAAAAGGGCAGCGGTCAGGGGAGTCCCAGGGACTATCTAGCCGGCCTTCCTTCTTCACTGGTTCTTCACTCTTGGCCCCAATACACTGCCCGAGCTTCTTTGGTTCTTTCGGTAAAGTCACGTAGAATAAGAATAAAATAATGAAATAACACAATAAAATTCTCACGACGTTTCGGCCACAACGCAAGCGGCCGTCTTCAGGTGAAAGGAACAGACCTGTCGGTACGGCAGAGCTTCAATGAACGATGTTAAGATTCGTAGCGACTTTTAAGCTGGTTGGGAGAAGTGAGGCACCTTGACAAAGGGGTTTACATTTCAAATAACTGGGGATTAGCTTGTGACTGGTCACAGAAATGGCTATGTTAAAGTCAAAACCTACACATCCACAGAGGCAACTAGTAATTTAGCATTGAAATAGCTAAGGGATTAGCTTGTGCAAATAGCTGAGGGATTAGCTTGTGACTGGTCACAGAAATGGATATGTTAAAGTCAAAACCTACACATCCACAGAGGCAACTAGTAATTTAGCATTGAAATAGCTAAGGGATTAGCTTGTGACTGGTCACAGAAATAGATGTTAAAGTCAAAGCCTACACATCCACAGAGCTTCAATGAACGCTGTTAAGATTCGTAGCGACTTTAAGCTGGTTGGGAGAAGTGAGGCACCTTGACAGAGGGGGTTTGCATATCAAATAGCTGAGGGATTAGCTTGTGACTGGTCATGGAAATGGCTATGTTAAAGTCAAAACCTACACATCCACAGAGGCAACTAGTAATTTAGCATTGAAATAGCTAAGGGATTAGCTTGTGACTGGTCACAGAAATATATGTTAAAGTCAAAGCCTACACATC